GGGGGGCGGGCTGGATGGAAGCAGAGGAGCCTTGTTGTGTATTGGGTTGCTATTCAGAAGTTAAATCAGAGAATGGCAGCTATAGATTCATGGTAATGTTTATTTTCTTCAGGAACATTTTCCATATACAGACAGGGTATCTATTTACATAAAATTGCATCGACATTGGGTCTGCCTAGAAGGTACAAACTAAGTTTTGATGTGAGGTGTTTTTACTAAATGAGGTTCAGAAAGTAAGCTTTCTGCATAGAAAACAACAATTCAATTTTGACTGTAGCAGCCCTATAAGGGGGGGGAAAGAATGTCGAAAATGGTACAGAATGTGTATCTATTCAGTACTGAATCAATGCTGTACAACAATGGTATAAAATGCCATCTGAAGACTTGACTCTGTGTAAGACATGAATCTGTGTAAAGGTACATGAATTGAGAATGGCAAATCATTTTTAATTTTGAAAAGGTTTTGTTTTTGTTGTTGTTTTACAAGATGTATTCTACTCTAAAATATTCCATCTTCTTTCTTTTAGAAACTCATCTATGGGAGGCTCCATTCAGTACAAATCAGAACTGTTCAGCTCTCAGAAATGGAACACCATCAGTTTCCTTAAGATAATTCTCTCTGGTCCTGGTCACACGGGCTGGATAATGCGAGGGGGAGGCGTGGCTATTAGTGCCGTCGCAATCTGATGCGCCCCAATGCGATCAGATGAGACGGCATTGTTTCCTTGGGCAGTTGTTTGCAGCATGCTCCAACCAGGAAGCAGGGACTCGAGAGGAGCGTGCTAGGGTGATCAGACAGAGAGCGTCTGTCTACAGCCCGTCGCTACCGGTCACTACTGGGGTTTCCAAGGTACTTTTAAAGTCCGCATCTTCAGCCGGACAATACCGGTTGGCCACGGGTGCGCCACGCTTGCCAGATGTGGTGGTGTGATCGTGGCCATATAATCTGCCTGGCATTCGTGGCTCTCCCGCGGCAAACTCTGTGTGTGATCGGGGGCCCTGTCTACCGCATGGCTTGGAGATTTTCAGGTCTACTTGTGTTTGGCCCATAAGTACATATGGTTCTAACTGTTCCACAATAATTTCATCAGAGGTGTCAAAATAGAAAATTAGAACAAAGAGGTTCTCCAACGAACAAAATTATTATTGGGTAAACTCTTTTAAATACCTGAAGTCAAGAGAAAAACACCATCTGTAACGTTTGTAATGGAGGGGGGAGGCTGCTTCAAGAGTGAACATAGCTGGAGTCCTTTCCTGATTGGGTGTGCATATGTGTTTTCAATGGGCAAGGAATGAAAATACATGCATATGTAATCACAACTGATCTGAACATCTGATCTGTGTACTCTGACACCGAAATATTATGAAGGAACCCTCACTGAGCAGCCTTGGGCAGATCACTTTCAGTCAACCTGACAGAACTGTTGTGATAATACAAACAAAAACTGTACTGTATACGCTGAATATGACTAATATTAATGCTAACTACAATACCACTTCTCAGTGGAACTTTATTCACAACCTCTCTGTTCATTCCAGTCCATAACCTGACGGGATTCCAACGGGCTCATTGTTTTGTACTGTACATGAGTGTGTGGAATTGGGGAGGTGTTGTTGTTGTTAAGGAAGTTAGGCTATTTGTGCAATAGACCAAAATTCAAATATATTAAAACATAGCAATCTTCAAAATTAATTATTTTCCGTTTCAGATTTAGTATGGCCTAACAATGATGTTTTTTAGGCAGAGAGATGAGTTAATTTAATGTCAGAACCACATTTTTGCAGAAACTGTAACTATACATTTAAAGGGGTTTCCAATTCTTCTGAAAGAAGTCCATGTTATGATAAAGACAATGAGACTCGATGTGAATATGCATATGAGGAGAGACGTCTCGTTTCACTTAAATGAAAAGCTCTGAACATATAAGATACAAATCTCGATAAAAGATAATGAACAACTTTTGCTGAAGAAGTATGAGCATAATCAATTTAAAAATGTATGACTTTCCCTAACAGGCCCATTTGCTCCAACATGTTAGAAATCCGTATTTTCACTGCTCTAAGATATATCTATTTTGCTTTTGGCAGTTAGAATGTGTAAGAAATAGGCACATTTTTTCAAGATGTAAGGCTACAATTCATTCAGCTGCCAATCTTAATAACTCAGTGACTGCTGTTAGACGACAACCAAGAATTTGGTATCCTTTTAAAAATAAGCTAATTTATTACAGCAAGACCTTTCATAGGTAAGAGCCTATTTCTTCAGCTGTACATGGCCACCCTAAACCAGTTAGGGCAGCTGTAAGGTGCCACAACATATTCTGTCTTCTTGTAAATAGAGTCATTCATATTAATAATGAAACTTTATTGGCTGTGGTGCATGTACTTCCACTCTTAACAGATATACAACATATATACAAAGTGATATTCTCTGCAGGTCTATTTCACTGTCTAGAAACTATGGATTGAATCCAACCAGCTTTTTCACTGAGGCAAAAGAGTAGAAAAGATTCCCTTTGACCACCCAAAAGGCTCTGCTGGGGACTGTGGGATCTGAATGGACAAAAGGCATGGAAAATGGGTTGGAGCTGGGGCTGTAATAAGGAGGGCAGT